ATATATTGTGTAATAGAGTGTATCTGATGTTATTTGAATTTGATCAACCATTAAGCTTCTTTTGTGTAAATGGTTGTGACGCTCGCCTTGACACAAGAAGTCGCAGGTTCGAATCCCGTTAGAGGGATTTTAATTTCTTTCTTTTTTTTCTATTTATAGGACAACATTAGTTGAGAGCTATACTACACGATGAATTATCATGTCCTTTATTGAAGTATTTACCTTTTTCTGATGACTTAAATATATATATATATTATATATATATATATATATATATATACTATATATATATATATACGGTATATATATATATATATAATATATGATGATGACTTATACATTGGGTGTTGACGTAGTTGTAACGTTTAGTTCAACAATTGATGTATTCGTAAGCAAGGTTATTAATTGTAAATGTGTTTTTTTTATTTGAGTAAATGCATTGTTACGCTAATAATGTTGACTATGGGAATTTACAGGTTAAAGATACAGAAAACGTAGCTTAAGGCGTGTATATGATGGTCAAGGGCCCTACATGCTTTCTATCGCTAGGCCCGGTTAATTAACAAATGTATTTATATTGAAATTTGATAAATAAAACATGGCAAGACAAGCACGTATGACCGCTTTTTAGGGATACTTGTACTTGAAGAAGGAAAAAGATCCTTGTCCGTTTGTTCAGTGCGATTTTACAGTAATTAGCAAAATAGATTCAAAGTATGACAAAGAATTTAATTTAGGTTTAGTTTGTTTTATAGCTTGGAAATATTTCTGTGTTGCTTCCAACTATTTTTGGTGAATCACGTAACGTTTATTATAACAGGCTTATATCAATATTTTCTTTCCAATATTGAATGTAGGTACGGTCTAATTCATAATACGATAGCACAAGTTAAACACAAATTACACGCATTTTACCTGGCATCTCAGCTTCATTGTCTTCATCTCATGTAACCAACCAGAAACACACCTCACCGTCCACAGGAAACCAAAGAAGAAACGAACATAGCCCACCAGGAACGCACGTGTGAACAAGAAACGCGTCTAGTGATTTACAAGCCTACAAGAAAAACACTAAGGAGCCTATCAGCACTCGTCTAATAGCGCACAACTAACATACCAGAAACGCACAATCATGTGTAAATGTCAATGTATGGTTGTTGGACGATGTCGTTTTAAACTCCTAAAAGCCTGTGGCTTCGGCTTGATTTTAGCGGGTATTGTACTGATTGGATTCGGGATCGCAGCTTTCTTTGAATGGGATCAATTCACAGACCAAACGGCAGGCGGACCCATATGGGCTGGTCTAGTGGTAAATACATATTGTTTTTACGTTGTGTGTATAGCGAATTAATAACAATTATGAAGTCCCTTGCGCTATATAAGTATTTCTTATTGCCATTGTCGCTGCCACACTGTCACTGTCATTGTCATGTCATTATTATTAACAGGGAGTTGTATTCCAACTATTTTTTAAGCTACGTTAATATATAATTGTTGTTGGTGCTAGTGAAGGTGTTGATTCTGGTGCTGTTTCTGGCATGGTTCTTGTGCTGGTGGTGTTACTGCTGTTGGTACTTGTGCTGGTGTTGTTGCTATTGTTGGTGTTGGTGGTGTTGTTACTTGTGTTTTGCTTGTGGTGCTGTTGCTGGTGGCTGGTGTTTCTGTTTTGGCGGGCACTGGTGGTGTGTTGCTGGTATTGTTGATAACATACATATACACAGATATACATATAGCATTATACAGGCCTACATATAATAATATAATACATTTCTCTTTGTATAATTTAATTATACCTTCCTTACAGGCAATTGTGACAGGTATTTGCTCGATCCACATAGCATCAACGTTATCTGACGACGATTGGGTGAGTATTCTTTTCTGTATGTATACACACACACACACACACACACACACACACACATATATATATATATATATACATATATATAAATATAAATAAATAAACATATATATATATATATAATATAAATCATCAAAGGTACATATACAGTGTTTAATAAGGACATGATGGAACATCGTAGGCTACCCTGTAGCTTTTCAACGACTAAAGTCCTATGAAATATCATTGTGTAATAAAATTTCTCCGACGGGATTCGAACCTGCAACCTCTCGCTGACAAGGCGAGCGTCATAACCACTAGACCACGAAGGCTTCATGATTGAACAGGTCCAAATACCCGTCGGGAACATTGTATTACACAATGCTATGCCTCAAGAGGGCGTTCGGCCAGATAAATCTGGAAATACG